GAGTCCCCACGACTCTTTCAGAGGCTCCTTGAGGTCAAACTGTTTTCATAATAATAACATGTCATTTGCCTCTTTCATTCGTATTCTTTCATAAGTATACAATGGAACCTTCCAGAAGCTGCAGAATCACAAAGATACCTGCTTGGGAAACCTGTATAGGCACTTCGTATTTTGGTTCCTGAAAGCTGACCTTGTATTGGGCAAGCAATTTCTTCACACCCATGTTACACTCTACTTTAGAGTCAGCATCTTTAAGATCAGGATTATATAATAGGAGGACATTTCTTCACTTCCTAAAGTGGGATGCAGGCAATGGAAGAGATTTTTTTGTAAGGGGAAGATTAGGGAGAGGAGGGTGTGATGGAATTAGTGAGTTGTTCATTTTCATCAAGTCAATTCCAGTTCAGGGCTGGTAGAACTGCACTTCATTGGGTTTTCAGGGCTGTGCACTTTTGGAAGCAGATTACCAGACCATACTTTCAAGGTGCCTCTGAATGGGTTTGATTTACCAACTTTAGCATTTGCAACACACAGGGACTCCTAATATGTCCACAAGTTAGTAGTTGCAGAAGAACAGCATGAAAACACTTGCTTCTGGGCTAATGTGAGGTAATTCTTGCGAGCTAGACATTTCTAGGGGAAATTTTGAGGCGAGCTGAAATCCCGCATCGGCAGTTGCTAGGTGCTGGTTAATTGCTTTTGACTCGTAATGACCGTAGGTCCAACAGAATGAAACCCTGTCCAGTCCTGTGCTATCCTCACAATCATTTCTATGTTGCAACTTCTGTGTCAGTCCATCTCGTTGATGGTCGTCTGTTTTTCCACTGACCCTCCACGTTACCAAGCATGATGTCCTTCTTCAGGGACTAGAGATAAGGTATCCAGAGGCTGTAAGATAAAGTCTCACCATCCATTCACCTCTAAGGAGCATTCTGACTGTATTTCTTACAAATACACATGAGTTTATCCTTCAGTTTATGGCATATTCAATATTCTTTGCCAACATTATAATTCAAATGTATTGATTCTTCCACAGTCTTCCTTATTCACTGTCCAGCATTCACATGCACGAGTTTGACTCACGCCAACTCCATGCGTGCAGATAGAGCTACTCCACAGGGTTTTCAAGGCTATGGTCTTTTGGAAGCAGATGGCCAGATGTGTCTTCCACAGCACCTCAGGGTGGACTAGAATTTCCAACCTTTCAGCTAGTAGTCAAACAGTCGTTTGTGGTGGAGACGCCTACTCTAAGGATTGTTGTTGTTAAGTGCCATGAAGTTGGTTCTGACTCATAGTGACCCTGTATAGGGTTTCCAAGAAACAGCTGGTGGGTTTAAATAACCAACATTGTGGTTTGTAGACCAATGCTTATTCTTGTTGTTAAGTGTCACTGAGTCGGTTCTGACGCAAGAGACCCTGTATAGGGTTTCCAAGGAGTGGTTGGTGAGTTTGAATGTCTGCCTTTGTGGTTCAAACTGACCTTTCAGTCCAGTGTTTATCCTACAGCACCACACCAGTTCTCTTGCATTGTTGTTGTTATTATGTGCTGTGGAGTCGGTTCCGACTTATAGCGACCCTGTACAGGGTTTCCAAGGCTGTAAATCTTTACGGGAGCAGAAAGCCTCATCTTTCTTCCGCGGAACAGCTGGTAGTTTTGAACTGATAACCTTGCGAGTAACAGCCCGATTTGTAACCACTACACTGCCAGACAATTCCTTCACCTGGAAATATGTAGCAGATGTCATTTTATTTTCTATTCCCTTGGCCAGAGTGAGTCAAAAGACCATTGCAAAGTGTCTAGTCAGGTAGGTTGACCTCGGGGACTTCTATTTATTTTAATTTAAATTTTTTTTGGGGGTTTTTTTGCCCACGTGTGTCAGTTTGATTTTTTTTTTTTCTATCGGGCATTTTGTCTTCATGCTGTCTTTTTCTTGCTGATCTTGACAAATGTGTTACTTTCAGTTACTGATCACATTCGTTTTAGGTATGGTGACCATTTTCTTCCAGTAGAGCACCTATCTTTTAATTTTATCTAGAGCGTCCTTTGTTGAACAGAAGCTTAAAATTTCAATATAGTCCGTGTCATCGAGGTTCCGACTTTTTAATGAATGAAGGGAGAATTTGTATAGAAGGTTATAGATGATCTTCACCTCACTCATTAAATCAACGACCCAGCAGAGTAATAGATGGAAGACTTGATCTATTGATGTTTGTTCTCAAAGTCAGCTAGAAGACTGGTAGGTAAATGAAAGATGAATGATTGGCAGGCTGACAAGGTGAAAAATATGACTGATGGGTAACTGACAAATGCTTAGGCGATTGCCTAAAAACTGACAGATGATCAATTGATCAATTGACTAATGACTATGAGACTTTAGATAGAGGTACACCTGCGTGTGACCTCCCCCCCACTCCTCCCCGCACCTCTCTGACACCCTCCTCATGGTCTCTGCTCTGCCTCTAGTTCAGCAATGTCACCTTCTTCATCTTCGGGCCTTTCATGATGTACCTGATGCACCCCTATGCCCAGCAACGCAACCTCTACATCCATGGTGTCTGGGTCCTCTTCATGGCCATAGGTAGGTGGGGGTGTGGTGGTGGGCAGGGGGCGGGACAGGCTGGCCCCTGACCGCCCACTCTTGCCTCTGCCACAGGCCTGTTCTCCATGTACTTCCACATGACCCTCAGTTTCCTGGGCCAGCTGCTGGACGAGATCGCCATCCTGTGGCTGGTGGCCAGTGGCTATTGCATCTGGATGCCTCGCTCCTATTACCCCACCTTCCTCAGGAAGAACAGGTGTGCTGGGGGCAGTCTATCTGGACAGGTGGAAGTGACCACTCGGTTGACCCTTTCTGAGCCCATCTGGGAGTCCCTGGACCCCATGTTCAAGTTCACCTCAGACTCCTCCCCTGACCATCCCAGGACCTTCCTGAGCCCACCTGAACCCACCTGAGTGCTCTAGCTGACCTTCCCTGCACCCTTTTTGGACCCCTGATCCTCAGGACCTGATGCCTAAATTTACCTGGGCCCCCAGGTTCCGTCCGCTGATGCACTTGAGACCCCTGGACTTCTTCCCCTGAGCAGGGTGTTTCAGGTTCACCTGAGTCTTGAAGTGCACACTGCTCATCATCCCAGAACTCTTCTGACCTTACCTGAGCTCTCCTGGGGTCCCTGGACTTCTCTCTCCAAGCCCACCTGAATAGATTGGAACCTTCTCCAGACTGCCTGAGCCCATTGGGGAGTCCTGGTCCCCCATATTTAGCTTCCTCTGAACCCTAGGGACCCCACCCCTGAGCCTATCTGGGCGTCTTAGGATCTCCTCTGGACTGCCTTGAATCTTTCCTCTGACCCTTCTGGGTCCCCTGGGTCCCTCTCTTGAGCTGACTAAGCCCCCCTCAAGCCCCCTGAACCTATCTCCTGACCCTTTCCCATTTGAGCCCTTCTGACCTACCCCATGTAGCACTTGGCTCCCTGGAATCCCTCTTTCCACCGAGTCCATCTCGGGTAGCCTGAGAGCCTCTCCAACACAGCAAGACCCACCTGGGCCTTCCAGAACCCTCTTAGATTCCCCCTGGGATTCCTGCAATGTTCCCCAACCCCACTAGGAGTCTCCCTGACCCCAACTTTCCTTGACCTCCCCCACATCCCTCCACCTTCTTTCAACTCTCCCACCTCCCCCACCTTTCCTACCTTCCCCCACCTCTTCCACCTTCCCATTTCCCACACCTTTCCCACCTTCCCCCATTTGCCCCCATCTCCCCCCCCCCCCCCCCCATCTCCCACCTTCCCCCACCTTCTCCATCTCCTCCACCTTACCAGATTGCCCCTACCTTCTTCTGCCCCTTCCCCCACCCCCTTGCCTCTGAGTTCCCCTGTTGTTGTTCAGTGCTGTTGAGTCCCGTTCTAACTTATGCAACCCTGTGCAGGGTTTCCAAGGAGCAACTGATGAGTTTGAATCATCACTCTTGTGATTCAAACTGAGCTTACTGTCCAGTGTTTATTCCACAGAGGCACATCAGGGTGCTCCTAAATCCCCTACCTGACCTTGCCTCGGGTCCCTGGGGCTCTTCACTGACTAGCCCTCCTACGTCCCCTTCTGACTCCAATTGGGCCCTTGGGACCCTTCATCTGATCCTCGTGGGCCTGCTGGGACCCTCTCCGGAGTCTTTCTGAGTCCAGTTGGGCTTGCTAGAATGCCTGCCCTTTCTCACTCACCTCTGTGGCAAGGTCTCCATCAGACCTTGCCTGACCACCTCCGCCACCACACTTCCTCCTGATCCCCAGCTGAACCCTCTCCCCACAGGGTCCACTTCACCTGCCTGACTGTCATCATCACCATAGTCAGCACCTTCCTGTCGTTCCTGCGGCCCACCATCAACGCCTACGCCCTCAACAGCATCGCCATCCACATCCTCTACATCGTCGTCCAAGAGTACAAGAAGTGAGTGGAGCCGGGTACCCACCACAGAGTCCGGGTGCATTCCTTACCCTCCCAGGGAGGGCGGCGTTCTGGCATCATCTCTACTTCACAGAACCCCCTCCCCCACAAATCATCCCAGGAGTGGCAGGACCAGGATCTGAACACAACAGTGTCCTGGTGATGCAACAGTTAAGCGTTCAGCTGCTAACCAAGAGGTCAGCAGTTCAAACCCATCAGCTGCTCCTTGGAAACCCTATACAGGGTCACTATGAGTCGGGACTGATTGAATGGCACTTAACAACACCAACAAGCAACATTGTACATAAAAAATAATAACAACATTAACAACAACGAAAAACTCAAGCCAACTGCTGTGGAGTTGATTCTAACTCACGGTTACCCATGTGTCAGAGTAGAATTGTGTTCCAGAGGGTTTTGAATGGCTGATTTTTTGCAAAAACCTGAGACTAGGCCCTGCCACCTACAAGCTGTTTGGCCTTGGGGTGAAAGGGTTGTTGTTGTTGTTAAGTGCCGTTGAGTCGGTTCCGACCCATAGCGACCCTGTACAGGGTTTCCGAGGGTGTAAATCTTTATGGGAGTAGAAAGCCTCATCTTTCTCCCGCGGAGCAGCTGGTAGTTTTGAACCGCTGACCTTAAGGTTCGCAGCCCCATTCGTAACCACTACGCTACCAAAGGGTAGGTAGGGTGTAGCTTTTCCAGATGTTCCTCTATTTTCTCATCTATGAATCAAAAATAACAATGTTGTGAGGACTGAGTGAATACCTGGTTGAGAGTTCTGTCTGGCATCCTTTAAGTGTTCAGCAAGTATTAGCTCTAAGCACAGATGAGGTAGGCACCATCTGCTTTACACCCTCTATCCCTCCAGCTTCCCTCATCCTAGCCTGGAGACAAGTTCTCCTTGATTGGAAGAGTTTCCCATCAGCCCCTTCCAGCTCTGCTCTTGGCTCTCTCTTCTTTCATCCCAGTTGTTGTTGGGTGTCATCTGGTTGATTCTAGACTCATGACAACCCGATGTACTGAGTAGAACTGCCCCATAGGATTTGGTAGGTCTTTATGGGAGAAATCTTGTCAGTGCAGAGATTAAATCCTGGGGAAAAGGCCCGGAGATGTGCTTCTGTAAACGTTCCCAAACCAAAAAACTCACTACCACAGTCAGTTTTGACTCACAACAACCATATGTTGTTGTTAAGTGCTGTCGAGTAGGTTCGGACTCATAGCAACTCTGTAAGTGTTTCTAAGGAGCAGCTGGTGGGTTTGAACTGCTGACCTTGTGGTTTGAAATTCAGTGCTGATCCTACAGCACCACACCAGGGGCCCAACAGCTATACTGTTGTTGTTAGGTGTTGTCGAGTCGGTTCTGACTCATAGCAACCCTGATTAGGGTTTCCGAGGAGCAGCTGGTGAATTGAAACTGCCGACTTTGTGGTTCACACCCACCTGGAGGTCCAGTGCATTACCCCACAGCGCCACACCAGGACATCATGGTGGTGGTGGTAACGTGCCGTGGACTCGGTTCCGACTCACAGCGACTGTGTACAGGGTTTCCAAGGCTGTAAATCTTTACGGGAGCAGAAAGCCTCATCTTTTCCCGTGAAACAGCTGGAAGTTTCGAATTGCTGACTTTGCGGTTCGCAGCCCGATTTATAACCAGTACACTACCAGAGCTCCTTAGGACACCGTTTGTTATTAAGTGCTGTGGAGTTGGTTCCGACCCATAGTGACCCTGACCAACGTTTCCGAGGCTGTAAATCTTTACGGGAGCAGAAAGCTTTATCTTTCTCCCACAGAGCTGCTGGTAGTTTCGAACTGCTGACCTTGCAGTTCACAGCCCGATTCATAACCACTACACTTGTTGCTGTTGTTATGTGCCGTTGAGTCGGTTCTAACTCATAGTGACCCTGTATGGGGTTTCCGAGGCTGTAAATCTTTACGGGAGCAGAAAGCCTCATCTTTCTCACACGGAGCAGCTGGTAGTTTCGAACTGCTGACCTTGCAGTTCACAGCCCGATTCATAACTAGTACGCTACCAGAGCTCCTACTGAGTAAAACTACCTTTAGGGCAGTTATGAGATTGGCACAGGACCAGGCAGTGTTTCATTCTGTGGTACATAGAGTCGCTATGTGTTGAAATCAACTCGACTGCACCTAGTAATAACAACAAATCTTTACGGAAACAGACCGCCCATCTTTGTTCCCTCAGAGCAGCTGGTGGGTTTGGACCACACATCTTGAAGTTAGCAGTCCAACCCTTAACCCACTGCCAGCAGGACTCCTTTCTGTAAAGATGTCAGCCTTGGAAACCCTGTGGAGTAGTTCTACTTTGTCCTGCCAGCACGCTGTGAGTTGTTAACTCAATGGAGGTGGATTTGGTTTAGTGGATCTTTACAGGAGCATTTGCCAGGCTTTCTCCCTCGGAAATGCTAGGTGGGTTCAAGCTGCCTGCTTTTTGGTTAGCAATGCTCACCCCACTAGGACTCATTTCTTTCCTCCCTAGGACCAACAATAAGGAACTTCGGCACCTCATCCAAGTCTCTGTGGTGCTGTGGGCTGTGGCCCTGACCAGCTGGGTCAGTGACCGACTGCTTTGCAGTTTCTGGCAGCAGATTAATTTCTTTTACCTACACAGCATCTGGTAAGTGCCCGCCAGTGACCTGGGGTCCCAGACTCAGGAATCATTGATCCCACAGCTAGGCAGATGCCAGAACTTAGGGAGCTAGTTGCAGTTGGGGGTGCTCTTGGATGGCCAGGATCCCTAGGAAGTAGAGAAAGGAGCAGGTGGGACTGAGGGCATCTTGGGGTACAGGGCCATCTTGTTCCCTCACTATCCTCTCTTATGCCTTAGGATTTTCTAGGGGAACAGAGCCAGTGAGACATGCATATGGAATCTTAGGATGATGCTGTAGGATAAACAGTGGACCGCTAATATCAGGGTTAGCAGTTCAAACCCACCAGCCATTCCTTGGAAACCCTGTACAGGGTCACTATGAGTTGGAACCAACTCAGCTTGATGGCACTTCCCATGTGTACATATAATGAAACCCGTGATAACCAGACCTTAACAGGACTGCCTTGGGTTTCTAGATCTCATGTTTTCCACCTTTGTAATCTTACCAGTTTTCAATCACTCAGTTTAGTAGAAATGATTTCAATCTCCCATCTCTGATGGGTTCCAGCTATCACAGGTTTTA